ATTCATCGGTGACCTGCAGCAGGTAGCATGGGGACCAGGCAGGGACAACCAGGAAGGACAGGGTGGGGGGGGTTCAAGCTTTTGAGGATGCTGTTCTAAAGCAACAATCATCCCTGTCTGGCTCTTCAGTCATCCCTTTGTCTGGGTCTTCACCAGTACATTGCGGAGGTCCATGTACCGTCAGTTAGTCCGGGTCAAAACTCTATCGGTGACCTGCAGCAGGTAGCATGGGGACCAGGCAGGGACAACCAGGAAGGACAGGGTGGGGGGGGTTCAAGCTTTTGAGGATGCTGTTCTAAAGCAACAATCATCCCTGTCTGGCTCTTCAGTCATCCCTTTGTCTGGGTCTTCACCAGTACATTGCGGAGGTCCATGTACCGTCAGTTAGTCCGGGTCAAAACTCTGCCAGGAGGTGCGGTGCCCAGTGTCCCAAAGTGAGCGATGAGATGGGGTGCCCTGGCACTGTTCAGTGTACAAGTTCGCTGTCGGTACACCCAGGACACTGGTAGCAGTAAGACAAACTGGCAGGGCCCAGATTGTACAGTAAAAAAAAAAAAAAAAGGCAAATGAGCAGAGGGGGGGAGTGTTTTTGTAGAGGGAAGAAAGCCTTCCCCACAGCAGGTTCTGTGGCCCCTGGAGGAGTTGGTGCGTCTGCAGGCTTCTCATCTCCTACTCCACCTCACCTGGAGCTTTTGGCAGCAATGATCTGTCTCTCCTCCCATGTTCCCTCCTAACTACCTCTTGACTTTCTGACTTTTTGCTCTCATCACCTCTTCTCCTTTGGAAAAGGTGTCATCTGGGTCTTACCCTCTTGGTTAGCCCCTGAGGATTCCTGGTCAAATACTTCTCTCTGATTTCAGCATCTGCTCTCCTCCTCCAGGAGCTGAAAAACAAAGATGAGCAATACGTGCAGGCCATTAAGAAGCATTCAGATGATATCCACCTACTTTTGGAGAGAATGGAGGAACAGACCAGGGTCATGCTGAAAACTTACCGTCACAAACTCCTACAGATTGAGGTAGCCACTTTGTAAGGTGGAGGAAGAGTCCAATGAGAAAACCTGCAGCCACTTACTCCTCCATATTTATGGCAAAGAGGCCTCAGGCTCAGTGCACTGGCTGGGTTGACTACTGTCCAGAGCAGCAGGGCTGATGTCTTGGTGAATGAGGCTGAAATCTGGCCAAGCAAAAGCACCGAATGGTGCTGAGCGCTGAGGGGCTGCTTTATGCCACGCTGTGAATGACCGTGCTTCAGTGCAGAGCAACTCAGTAGCATGTGAATGCTTCATGGCTGATTATTCATCTCTCTGAAAGCCAGAAAGGACCATGTGGTTCTTTAGCCTTACCTTCTGCAGAACACAAAGTCCCACTGCACAGACCAAACCTGCATTTGTTGCTGAGTGAGGGCAGCTCTCCCCATTTAATGTCTTGCTAAGTGAAATCAGGTGGCTGCCTGACCAAGCTCCACTGCTAATTAATGATGATTTCCAGTGAACTCACAGAGCTACCCACCACCACGAGCATCCCTCCAGCTCTGGGTGGCTGGTAGCAGCAGTCCCCGTGGGGTCGCAGTGTGAGGTCTCTGCCAGCGGGGTCCTGGCATGGAGAGGAGAGATCAGGCCAGCGCGTGTTCATCGGACAGCGGCACCAGCCTGCAGCCCGTCCTCTCCTGGAGGCTGCTGGCCTGGACTAGTGTAAGGTTGGCAATGAGTGGTGCCAACATGATGGTGAAGGGCTCTGTCTCCTTCACAGAAAGCTTTTGAGCTCGAACGGCGAGAGCTGCTGGACAACAACAGGAAGAAGTGGGACGAAGCCATCCAAGCCCACAACACACGGGAGGTAAGGTCTGTGTGAAATTTAGAATCATAGAATCGTTTAGGTTGGAAAAGACCTTTAAGATCATTGACTCCAACCATTAACGTAACACTGCCAAGTCCACTGCTAAACCATGTCCCTAAGCGCCACGTCTACACATCTTTTAAATACCTCCAGGGATGGGGACTCCACCACTTCCCTGGGCAGCCTGTTCCAGTGCTTGACAACCCTTTCAGTGAAGAAATTTCTCCTAATATCTAATCTAAACCTCCCCTGTTGCAACTTGAGGCCATTTCCTCTTGTTCTGTCACTTGTTCCTTGGGAGAAGAGACCAACCCCCACCTCGCTGCAACCTCCTTTCAGGTAGTTGTAGAGAGCAATAATCATAGAATTGTTTAGGGTGGATAAGACCGTTGAGATCATCAAGTCCAACCATTAACCTAACACTACCAAGTCCACCACTAAAACAATTAAGGGGAGAGTAATAATTAATTTGATGATTCCTGGCTTGTTGGCTGGATTATTTTTTAATGAAAGTAAAACCAGGAATCACTAAGGTTGGAAAGGCCCTCTAAGATCATCAGTCCAACCATCAATCCAGCACCCCCATGCCCACTAAACCATGTCCCAAAAGGTCTCCCCTCAGCCTCCTCTTCTCCAGGCTGAACACCCCCAGCTCCCTCAGCCGCTCCCCACCAGCCCTGTGCTCCAGGCCCTTCCCCAGCTCTGCTGCCCTTCTCTGGCCATGCCCCAGCACCCCAATGTCCTTCTTGTACTGAAGGGCCAAAGGCTGCCAGGCCCAGTGCTGCTCTCCAGCACTGGGCTGCTTTGAAAGACACACATGCACGAAGGCAGCTGGTTCCTCAGGAGTGTGGGGGGCAAAGGGACAGTTTTTCAGCCTGCTCTGCAGGGGAATTACCCATGCATGACCTTGCTTTGGGCTAGCCAAAGGAGCTGTGATCGCGGGAGGAAGCTGTCGCCACTGATGGATGATGTTTTCCTTTTGCCTGTAGCTGGAATACCTGCATGCCCGTATGAGGAAGGTGGAAGAGTTTGAGAAACAGCTGAGTCAGCTGCGGTTGGAGGATGAGGAGGAGTATAACAGCATGAAGATCCAGCTGGAGAGCGATGTGCAGGTACAGAAAAGGCTAACGTGTGCCATGTGGGGAGGCAGTGGAGCAGATCTCCCTGGGCTTTTCTGTGTGTAGATGGCTCTGTGGGGCAGCTAGACGGTATGAAAGCTGCAGCTGGTATCTGGTCATCTCAGCTCTTCAGTATGCACAGTCCAGCCCCGTGTCAATGGGGTGATGGAGCTGTTGTTCTCTTCTCTCCATGGGTCCTACACCACAGCGTCTGTCTGCCCTTGGCTCTCAGAGGTCTGTAGCACGTGAACTGTAGCTCTAGGATGTATGAAGCACCTGGGAAGGGTGAGGGGTTTGCTACTTCTGGCATCGTGATTGGTAGGAGGATCAAATAGTGTGAGTGTCCTGACACCAAATCATTTCAGGTCAACCTAATTTCTTCCTTTGTCAGGGTCCTTGTCCTAGGAGGTGTCAGCTTTTTCCTCTGACATCTAGCCATAGACCCATGGTTTCTCTAATGCCCACGAAGTCCACTTGGTGTGAGAACTATCATGACTTTGCCCTTACTCAGGTAGGAGGGCATGCAGTGGAAGAGCACAACCCTGGCACACCGCTGGCTGGACAAGCACCAGCAGCTCTCACTGCAGATCCAAACCTCATAATTGTGGCTTCCCCGAGACACAGATACCTTTTAATCCACTGCCTTCTCTGTGAGCAGCGGTGTTAACAAAGCAGTGCATCTGTGGCTCTCTGCAATCCTGCTGGTCCCCTGGACAGCAGCCCTGGCGATGGTCCTGAGGCTGTCACGTTTAGCTTTGCCCAGATCGTTCAGCCTCCTCTGCTCAGCAGAGCGCCCTGCCGCCGCTGACGCCTTCCCTGCTAGTTGTCGTGTGTTGCTTCCTGGGCTGCACGGTAGAAATTCGGCATGTTGCATTTGGACTTTAGAAAAGCTCGTTGTTTGTCCCATGGGATGTGCTCCTAGGAAGCCCAGGGAAATACAGGCTAGGGCTGATGTCTAGAAGGTTTTGCACAACTTCAAGTGAAATATTACTGTTGCGAGGTCCCTGTCAGCCTGAAAGGGCATGGCCAGGGAGGGCAGTCCTGACTTTGCGGTTTCTTTGCCTTCATATCAATAACCTGGAAGGTGACACGGAGTGTGTAAGATGGCTCTGAGACGTCTGGGGAGAGAGGCAGCAGCGCGCTGGAGATCAAGGTTCGCAGACAGCGATGTGGGCCTGTTGTAAAAATGCGCCTGCTGCCTTTAGCTGTAGTTGTGGGAGGGTTGATATATAAGGCAGGAGAGGTAAATTTTCATAGAATCATAGAATCATCGAATCGTTGAGGTTGGAAAAGACCTTGAAGATCATGCAGTCCAACCATTAACCTAACACTACCAAGTCCACACTAAACCAGTTAAGGGCAGAGTAGCAATTTCGTGTTTCCTGGCTTGGTGGCTGGATTATTTATAATGAAAATAAAAACTAGGAATGATTAAGGTTGGAAAGGACCTCTAAGATCATCAGTCCAACCATCAACCCAACACCCCCATGCCCACTAAACCATGTCCCCAAGAGCCACCTCTGCCTGTTTTTTGAACCCCTCCAGGGATGGGGACTCCCCAACTCTCTGGGCAGCCTGTTCCAATGCTTGACTACCCTTTCCATGAAGAAATTTTTCCTAATATCTAATCTAACCTCCCCTGGCGCAGCTTGAGGTTGTTTTCCTCTCTACTTTATACCTACATGTCCTTGTCCAGGTTTGGCAACACGCTTGGGAACAGGGGAGAGAGTCGAGAACAGACTAAGTAGATAAATGGCCCCTAAGAAAAGGTTGAAAGGGGCTGCTTAGACCAGGGAAGAGATTTCTGTAGGGAGGTGATCATACACACAATTCTGTATGATGGAGGAGGAGAATGAGTTCTTCTCTGCGTCTGCTGTAGATGCAAGAAAAAATCACAGGCTTGAGTTTTGGTAGGGAAGATTTAAACCGGCATTCAGATTTAGGGTTGAAATTTCAAGCTAGGAAAGCCTAGAAATGTCAAGGACTGGCTTGATGGTTGGCTAGAGTGACTGTACCCTTGGTTTGCTGCTCTTTGATGCAGGGTTTTAGGAACAGCTTAAATCAACTTCCGCTGGGGCTGATTTGGTGAAGTTGTTCCCTCTGTGGGGCAGAGGGATGAAGTAGATGTCCTCCTGCTTCCCTTTAGCACTGGAGCTCTGTAACCCTTTATAGCACAGACTTCACTCTTCCAGTTCAGGGAGAATAAGAAAAGAGAAGTTGGAAACAACTATTTTCCTGATGATGTCGTTGTCCTGAGGTATTTCTGAAACAGGAGCTTAGCCAAGACCTAAAGATGAAGCCTATGGTTTGGGGGTTGTTGAGCACTCCCCAGTCTCACTAAATGGGAATCAGCATTTTAAATACGGGGTTTGGGCCATGGCTTTCCTCCATCTGCTATAAGGAAAAGGTCCCTTGGCCCTGCTGGGATTCATCTCCCTCTTTTCTTCAGCTGAGCGTTGATCCTAGCCAGCTGGGACTGCTTCTGGGTGTCTTCCCAGGTTGTTTGTACGCTCCCTGCCATACGTAGGGCTACCCAGAAGAGCTCTGAGGCAGCTAACCCGCGTACCAGTGTCTTCCCTGCTTCTAGCCTACAGCTCGGGACTCTTTACCTGCCCCCAGAGATCTCCCTGGGCCGGGAGCAAGCCTGAGCCCCCGATGGAGACCCCACTGGGTCTCTCTGCTGGGCAGATTCCTGTGCACAACCGAGCCTGCGGCTGATGCTGTAATTTGGGGCCATACAGCAGCTTAATTCCAATCGCTTCCTATCATGGAAGAAGTCTTTATAGGCCTCCCCAGGAAAGCCCTGTGTTATGAGATTTTTCAGTATCAGATTTCTGCCTCCTCTTGCACATGGAAGACGCTTATATACTCATGAATTAAACCATGCCAGGCCAGGATGCTGCCTCTCACCCATCCACGCAGTCACGCTGCCTGCTCCTGGAGTTTCCATGCCACCGTGTTCCCCTGAGCTCGCTTCCAAATGAGCTGTAGGGCTGGCAGAGAGCAGCGATCATCAGTAGGGTGTGATGCCTCCCAGCCCAGAGCAGCAGCCCCAGGAGACTGGGGCAATCAGCCCGGGAAGCGGCTCTTCCTTTCCCTCAGCTGTCGAGCAAACAGGGCGCTGGGAAGCTGAGAGAGATATCTCCCATTACAGATGTCTCCTCCATTGCAGCTGTGGAGCAAAGGGGAGAACTCTCTGCCTCTTTCCTGTCCCCCAGGATATGCAGCGGGATGCGGCCATCACAAGTGCTTTGGTTATTTGTTTTGTTCTGGTTTCCTTAAGACCTAGAGTTTCTGTGGTCACTCCTTCTGTGTGTCCCTTCCTCCAGCTCACCAAGCAACTTCTGAGCCTCCCGGTTAATTCGGAGACGTGCAATTGCTAAAACTGACATGGAAATCAGCAGCTAGGTTGAGGAGAGAGGCCCAAATTAGTGCCCCACTGAGTGAAAGTTGGGGACAACTCCAGTCCGTTCTTCCTTCCCCAGACATGGCCCCATAGCACGTACTTACAGACAACCAGCATCTCCATCGCTCACCCATGGGTGATGCCGTGTGGCCAGGGGTTAGCTGGGGAAATGTGCATGGGAAGATGGGGGTTTGGAGATGCAGGCTCAGTAGGATCCAGGCTTCAATGTGGCCTTTGCTCATGGCACGGCTTGTTTTTGTGTTTTTTGAAATGCCAGAACCTGGAGATGCAGCTCCAGCAGATGAAAGCCGTCTATCAGCTGAACCAGGAGAAGCTGCAGTACAACCTTCAGGTGCTTAAGAAGCAGGACAAGGAGAACACCATCATCAGATCCCAGCAGAAGAGGAAGCTCAACCGGTAAAAATCCATCCCTGGAAGATGGGCTCTGCCTTACCTGCCATCACCTCCGATATACCGTTTTTTGTGGAGCCCATCACCTAGCAGAGGCCAGCAAGCTCTGTCCCAACCCATCCCTGGGCAGGGACAGGGGTTAGCCCAGGGCAGGGCCATCCCCAGAGCACTTTGAACAGACCGGCCATGGCCAACCTATGCTGGCTGCATCAGGGTGAGCCAGGCCTTGGCACTGAGTAGTCACTAGTACATAAGCAGCCCCAAGTCCCAAAGCCTTCATACAAGCTGGGTAGGTCCAAAGGTGCCTCTTCGGGGATGTCCAGCTTTGCTGTCTCTCCCCAGGCTCCACACCTTGCTCAATAACCTGAGAAGAAAGCTGGCCAAACAAGAGCAGCAGTTCAGAGAGGAGAACCAGAGCCTGGCAGCCGACTGCGAGCGCATCACGAGGCAGTGCAAGGAGGTGCAGAGGAGGATGAGGTGGGGTGTGCATGGCATCCACCCACGATGAGGCCTCGGAGCAGCTAAGTGAGGTGTGGGGTATCGTTTTGGGACCCAGAGCCTCCTTCCATGGGCCATCTCCCTTCCACACAGGCACTTTGCTGTCAGCGATGCTGAGAAGTTCACGAAGGTCTGGCTTATGAACGAGGAGGAAGCCAAAGGGCTGATGCGGAAAGCCCTTGATGCAGATCGCATCATTCACACGCAGCAGCTGGGGCTGCCCTGGGAAGAGCCTCGTTACTGGTTCCTGAACAACGTTGGCCCCCTCGGGCATTACAAGGTGAAGAGGATGGCGACCAAGCTGGCTGCGGAGGTCCTGACAGGTGGGATGCCCAGTGCCCTTGTCACCCTTGTGGCACTGGGAGACCCTCATCTTCCTCCATGACAGCCCCTTCTGTCGCTCCTCTCCTTGCCATTGCAAGGTGGGATCTTACAGCGGTGACCTTTCAGTACTGAAAGGGGGCCTATAGGAAGGATGGGGACAATCTTTTTAGCAAGACCTGTTGTGACAGGACAAGGAGTAATGGTTTTAAACTAAAGAAGAATAGATTTAGACTGGATATAAGGAAGAAATTGTTTACAATGAGGGTGGTGAAGTACTGGCACAGGTTGCCCAGAGAGGTGGGAGATGCCCCATCCCTGGCAACATCCCAGGCCAGGTTGGACGGGGCTCTGAGCACCCTGCTCTGGTTGAAGCTGTCCCTGCTCACTGCAGGGGGTTGGGCTGGATGGCCTCTAAAGGTCCCTTCCCACCCAAACCATTCTGTGATTCTATGACATTGCGAGTCCAGGCAGGGGCTGTCCCCAGCCCTGAGCTGGCTCGTGCTAAGACAGCTTGGGGATCTTTGCACTGTACTTTGCCCAGTGCTCCCAGTTCCAGACAAGCTGACCAAGAGCCAGCTTGTGTCCCAAGATCTTTGGGGTGCTTCCCAGGTTGCAGGGAACAATTGTGATTTCCTCAGCGACTCCTGCAGTGATGTGACTGGGGAGCACAGCCTTGGGAGCACAGCCAAAGCACAAAGGCTTTTGCTCACCCTTCTTTCTCCACGTTTCAGAGAGCAGCTCTGGGGGACAGGAGGAGGAAGGGAGAGAGAAGAAGGAAGAAGTGGGTAGTGGAGGAGGAAAAGAAAATACGGTGAAGGTTGAGGACAGAGTCACACCTCTGCGAAATATCTCCAAGACGACTGCCAAGAGGATCCTGGAGCTCGTGAGCGATGAGTCGGTGCGTGATGCTGTGGCATGTGCCCTGATCAGGGAGCAGGCGTGCTGTCCCCTGGTTGCTCCAGCTTGTGGGGGATCAGTCCCGAGCTCCACGTCTTGGGGTGAAGGCTTCTACATGGCACTGCCTTGCTACGCCAAGTAGCCTGTTCAGAGAGCTGCCCCAGGGGCTGGGAGAGGATCTCCAGGTGTTTCCACTGTGTGTGGCACATATATGATGCTAAGAAAAGGTATTGGCGGGCACAGCCCCGTTGCCCAAATGGGAGACACAGCCCCAGGCCAGAAAAAGCTCAGGCAAACCTGCTGCATCTGATGCTCCAGGCTGTTCCCCAGGTCTCTTCTCCCAAGTAGTTGGTCTCTTCTCCCAAGTAGTTAGTGATAGGATGAGAGGAAATGGCCTCAAGCTGCACCAGGGGAGGTTTAGATTGGATATTAGGAAAAATTTCTTCACGGAAAGGGTAGTCAAGCACTGGAACAGGCTGCCCAGAGAGGTGGTGGAGTCCCCATCCCTGGAAGTGTTCAAAAAACGGTCAGACATGGCACCTGGGTACATGGTTTAGTCTAGTCTACCCTTGATTGGTTTAGTGTGGACTTGGTAATGTTAGGTTAATGGTTGGACTGGATGATCTTTAAGGTCTTTTCCAACCTAAACGATTCTATGATTCCATCTCTGGGGACAGTCAGCAAGAGCTTTAGGTCATGAGGTCCTTTTGGCATCACCGCGCTGATCTTCCCTGTCTGCTGGGTGGCAATTCCAGAGCCTCCCGGCCCTGCCAGCCTCACGCTGCCCAGCTGCTGCCCACCCTCCCTGCTCAGCCTGCCGTCACAGGACAGCACGGCCATAGCATGGCATGGGTTGGCTTCTGGGCGGGGACGGAGACGCTATTTCTCTGCACCCTCTTCTCTGCGTGTCTCCCAAGGATTTTCTCATTGAGAGCAAGCTGCTGAGGCCCCTGCATGCACTGGGGAGGCACAAGTGCACCCTCATGAAGCTCGACTCCATCTTTGCGGTGAGTTGTGGCTTGGCCCATCAGGGGCTGCAGGGAAGGCTGATGGTCACCAGAGAAAGCTCTTTGCCCCGTGTCTGCGTGGCGTAGGGCTGAGCCGCCCCTGGGGAGGTCCGACTGGGCTGCCGGGGGGACGCTGGGGCAGCAAGGGGAGAGGAGCACTGCAGGAGGGTGTGAAGCACTGTGGCCAGACGCTTCTCAGCTCAAGGCCATCCTGCTGATGAATTAATCAACATCTCCAGGGCCCCTCCAGCCTGTTCTCAGACTCTCCCATCCACAGATGCCCCTGACTGTCGCACACTAGCCGCTTCCTCACGGAAAGAATGGTCAAGCATTGGAACAGGCTGCCCAGAGAGGTGGGGGAGTCACCATCCCTGGAGGGGTTCAAAAAATGGGTAGAGTTGGCACTTGGGGACATGGTTTAGTGGGCATGGGGGTGTTGGGTTGATGGTTGGACTGATGATCTCAGAGGGCCTTTCCAACCTTAATGATTCCTAGTTTTACTTTCATTAAAAAATAATCCAGCCACCAAGCCAGGACACATGAAATTGCTACTCTCCCCTTAATTGGTTTAGTGGTGGACTTGGTAATGTTAGGTTAATGGTTGGACTGCATGATCTTCAAGGTCTTTTCCAACCTCAACGATTCTATGATTCTATGATTCTTACCACCTGCTCCTGCCTTGCAAGAGGGGCACCCTCTGCTCTCTGCTCCTGGGAAACGCTCTTTGTTTTGATCCTGTTCCCGTGATGTCTCTGAGGGACACTAACCTGGTTCCTCTGCTCCCCAGGCCCTCAAGATCGACAGTGAGGATGACCTGTACCAGCTGGTGGATTTTTTCCTGAAGTACAAAGCCCAGGAGATGGCTGTCAGCCAGGTGGGCCCACCGGGGACAGTGGTGGGGAGAGCCCAGCAGAGCCAGGGATCCAGGAAAGAGGGAGCAGAACATCTCCTGAACACCCAGGGAAGGCAGAGAGGGCGACCAGCGTGTTGACCCTGAAATGTTTCCCTGTGACCGGACAAGGGAGGTGAACGTGCCAGGGCTGAGGCTGAGGGGTTGTAATCTTCTTCTGCCGTGGCTGAGCAGAGCCTCTTGCAGATGAATTTTTGCCTGAGCTCTCTAAATTTGCCAAGGGGCAAAGCTGCGGGCAGTTCCCAGGGGAAGGTGGCTCTTGGGGAGGAGGAGGTGGTGGAAAGCACAGTGCCCAGCTTGCTTCCCTCCAGAGCCAGAGCAGCCCAGGTGGAGAAGATGTCACGGATCCAGCTGAGGACAGAGAGGATGGTGGATCTGGTGCCCAGAGGGACGAGCTCAAATCCCCTCGGAGCTTGCTGGCCTCCCTTCCATCTGCGTACATCCACGCTGACGACGTCCTAAAGATCCTGAAAGCGTTTGTGCGGGATTTTGACAAGCTGAGGTAGGACTAGGGGCAGAGTGGGGCTGTTGTGACTGAGAGGGACCCAGATTGGGGCACAGGGCAGGGGGCTGTGGGGGTGTGCAGCCAGGGGTGGGGGTGACTGTATTGCCCTGGCTGGAGCAAGAGCTTCCCCAGCCTGCCCTGCAAGATTTTGTGTTCAGAAAACGGGCAGAGGTGGCACTTGGGGACATGGTTTAGTGGGCATGGGGGTGTTGGGGTGATGGTTGGGCTGATGATCTTAGAGGGCCTTTCCAAACTTAGTGATTCCTGGTTTTTACTTTCATTAAAAATAATACAGCCACCAAAGCAGGAAACATGAAATTAATTCTTCCTCTCCCCTTAATTGGTTTAGTGGTGGACTTGGTAGTGTTAGGTTAATGGTTGGACTGGGTGATCTTAAAGGTTTTTTCCCAACGATTCGATGGTTCTATGATTACAGAGGGGTGGGGAGCGTCCCACCAAGGCAAGGGGGTACAGACAGTGCCTGAATCACAGAATCATCGAATTGTTTAGGTTGGAAAAGATCTTTGAGATCATCCAGTCCAACCATTAACATCCCTGAGCGAGGGATGGCTGGGGACAAGAAGGCAGGAGATGACCAGTAGCAAAGCCATGGGGCAGGCAGGTGCCAGCTGCGGGGTCGTGCTCATTCGTGTGATGATGGTGATGGTTTTTTGGGTTTTTTCTCCTCAGCTGAGGGGTTTCGTGTGATGATGGTGATGGTTTGGTTTTTTTTAATTTCCTCAGCTGAGGGGTATGGGGCTGTTCCTCACCCATGAATAGCTGAGCCCCAGGGCTTTGTTCCCTTCCCTTAATTGGTTTAGTGGTGGTCTTGGCAGTGTTAGGTCAATGGTTGGACTGGATGATCTTCAAGGTCTTTTCCAACCTAAACGATTCGATGATTCCATGATTCTCTGTCCCCCAGGGAGAAGGACGGATCAGCAAAGGAGGTGCTACCGCTACGGGACAGCTCCGAGGATGGGGAATACTGGGAAGCCCTGGCACGCGTTATCCCCGTGCCGACGTTGAAGCTGTGGGATGCGCTGGCGGTGGCACTGGAGGAATATTAGTGAGTGCCTGGCAGTGCTGTTGGGGACAGGGCAGGCTGGTGGCGCGCCTGGGGGAACCGCAGCGGGGCTGGCCACCGACTGGCCCCGTCAACTCTCTGCCTTCCTTGCCCAGCGAGGTCCTCAAGCGCAGGGCCAGCCTGCTCGCCGAAGCAGCTGTCCTGCGACAGCAGAACTCGGAGCTGCGCCTGCTGCTGGAGGAGTACGTCAGCTCCGGGGTGAGCGCGGCATCCTCCTCCCCTGCGGCTTGGGGCAGGGGGCCTGAGGCAGAGGTCCCCAAACATGGTAGGGGGGGCCCACTGCCTGCAGCCCATCGCTGTGGGGCTCAGGGTGCTTCTCCCCACAGGTGAACAGCAAGCTGCTCTCTCCTCCCACGCAGTGAAACCACCTGAAGCTGCCCGGCCCCGCGGAAGCGCAGCGAGTGCCCAGAGCCAGGGCACGGCTTTTCTCTGCCCCAAGCTGAAGCTGTGGCGGGAGCCAGGGCTTCCTGGCAGGGATTAATAAAATCTTCCCAAACGTGGGCTGGGAGTGTGGCCTGCCAGGAGCACCCCTCTCACCTCTGAACGTGCTGGGAAGCCGCAGCCAAGCGTCCCCCCTCCCAGCCCCGATCCAGGGGACTCACGGTGCTGTGGCAAAGTGTTTCCCTGCTCGTGCCGCAAAACCCTGCGGTCTGTGCCCTCCCTTCCCTCCACGGAGCCGAAACCAGGCAGGAGCCTTCCCCTCCCGCAGGTCAGCATCCCTGCCCTCCATAGGCACCCTGGCTTTGGGACAGCCCGCCTTTCTTTCCCTGATTTTACACCTTATTCCCCACTTTTGCTGCCCCAACACCTTTTTTCCCCCCCCGGACTCCTCCCAAACAACCCACCCCCAACTCATTTTCCCTCACTGGTCCCACTGCTGCTCCATCCATACCTCAGTTCTGCATTTCCAGGGCGATATCAGCCCAAAGCGGTGCTACCGGCAGAGTTATCTCCAGGAGGGCCGTGTCGCATCCGTGACTCCCTTCCACACCCCCCCAGTTCACACCAGTTATTCCCAGTAGAACCTTCCTGGCCAGCTTTATCTTTAGCCTTGACTCCCCTGCCTAATGCTAACCTGGCACAAGCGGTTTCTCATACCAGGGCGGAATAACACTTTTTTTTTTTTTCTCACTGGCCATCTGTGCCCTTGAATAGTTTTCACTTTTCTCTTGGTCCCCATCAGGGAATCCGGCCAACTTCAAGGGCCAGTGATCCCGTGGGAAGGCTCGCTTGGGTACAGCGGGATCCGCAGGGCAGAAACACAAACAAAAAAGGCCAAGACTGAGGGGGTGGGAAGCAGGGAAAGGGTTTTGGGGCTGGGAAGGCAGGGACTGGCGCGCTGCCTGGGATGAGGGAGCGGCAGACGCCGCCCAGCACATCTCGGCTCGCTCTGCCGGGATCCCGGGACCGCCAAGGCGCCAGCTCATGGAGTACGGGGATGTTCTGAGAACCCGGGACGGCCAAGTGGGCAGGTTCGGAGAACCGGGGCCCGCCAACGCGCCAGCTCCTGGAGGGTGGGCAGGTTCGGAGAACCGGGGACCGCCAAGGCGCCAGCTCCTGGAGTCAGGGGATGTTCTGAGAACCCGGGACCGCCAAGGCGCCAGCTCCTGGAGTCAGGGGATG